CAGCCATTATTGCTTCAACAAGATATCTCAACAAAAACATCGCAGTTGATGGAACGAGAGGACACACCTGACGCAGAATCGTCCAACAGCACCGATATGTAGCAGCCATCTCGCCCGTAACACCAAGTCATCCGAAGCGAAGAGAAGGATCGATCCTGGAGATTACTCGCGTTAAGTAAAAAACGCCAATGATAATCAGATAATTGCAATTTTATTATTATGTGACGAATGGTTCGTTTGAGTTCATTGTAATATTTTAACCATTCGTTATCTTTCCTTTTTCTTGCTATTGAGATGATCACAGTCAATGAGTTGATTTTTTTTAATGTTCAAAATTCTATTATATTTAAGAAATTCACGTTTATTGTGTAAGTTCTATCACCACATTGTAAAATCACGCTTCATACGTATGATTGAAACATTTGAGTCAGCTCGACGACGCGAGGCACATCGAGATTGATCTGTCAATCTTTATCGTTTGTCTATTACGCCTTAAGCGATTATCAACTAAACGGATTAAAACCTGGATAACAAATTCCAAAATGTTCTGACTACGTTAAAGGTCCTATGAGCTCAATGTTATGCCTTTATTTGCCTTGTCAGATACCTATTTTTTTTCATTCAATTAACTTAGTGAGATGAAACTGACAAAGTCAATATTATTACAACTTCATAGTGGAACTCATCGATCTGACTCTACTTAGTTGATATCAATCGAATCATTTAATTAATTAATTTATTGATTATAAGAGACCAAAGCGTGTTGCATAATTTGTATGTTATGCGTGAAGGATTTGTGTGAGATACTAATTGTTTGCCAGCAAATACTGTGTGTTCAAGACGAGTGTGTGTCTCGTCCCTCCTTTTCGGTCAAGTGTAATATTGGGTAAACGCTATCGAACATTTTGGTCCTTCGAGCCGGATACATTTGGCCGGGGGCAGGATGAGACTAGCACATGTAGAAGCTCGCTTAGAGCAGCAACTCACGCTCAACACCCTGATTACCAGTTCGTACGACGACTTAACCAAGGTGAGTTTACATAACTTGAATTATCAGAGAATACAGGCCCGACTTACGGCACTTAAAGATGATTGGGAAAAATTCTTTATAATTCACGAAGCCATTGGAATAGCCTTGAGGGAATTGAATCACGAGGATCGGTTGTACATACAAAATCATTCTTATTTTTCGGAAAACTTCTTTGTTACTACACGGGAGCTTTATTTAGAGTCAACCGAACGCATGAGCTTATTACTCGATTCTGACCATGGAGCCATGTCGGGAACGTCCTCGGGTCATCTAGATGTACCTATTCCGCCCGGGCCTTCTTATCATCATCACGCGAGGTTACCTCGGATAGACATTCCAAAATTTAGTGGCAATCCGGAAGATTGGCTATCTTTCAAGGATCTGTTTACTTCTCTGGTGATCGCCAATGGTTCTCTTTCCTCGGTTGAAAAACTTCAATATCTGAAGACGAGTTTAGTCGGTACGGCCGCTCAGTTATTAAGGAATATGTCAGTCACTGGGGAAAACTTTCAACGAGCATGGGACGCCCTTATTGCCTTTTATGAAAATAAAAGAATGCTGTTAAACACAACGTTGAACTCCCTACTTAGCCTGAAACGTATGACCAAGGAGTCAGCTGGGGAATTGGAGCGTCTGTATACATGTATGATGCAGATCTATAGATCCTTAGAGAATCTACAACGACCAGTCAGTCATTGGAATGACTTTCTGATATTTATTGCCGTCCAGCGCTTGGATTCGGAAACGGTGAAAACATGGGAGCAACTTCTGGGCTCAACTAAGGATCCACCTAAGTGGCATCAATTCACTGAGTTTTTACTCTCCAGACTTCGGTCACTTCAAGCTTTTGAGAAAGCTACTTTCGGCAAACTTTCTACCCAACCGCAGAAGATATCCGTCAAGACTCATTACCAAGGAACGTCTAGAAAGGAGGATCCGAACACCGAAAAGACATGCCCGCTTTGTTCAGATAATCGTCATCCCTCGCTATGTACCGTATACAATACCAAATCAGTTCCACAAAGGAGATTACTTATTTATAAACATAAATTATGTTTTAATTGTTTAGGACGTCATAGGGTGGCGGCTTGTCAAGTCTCTAAACGGTGTCGAAAGTGTGGTCAGAAACATCACACCACGATACACTCTGTCTCCTCTCACCAAGACAAGAATAAGGAAAATAGCAAAGATACAACCAACTCTGAAGAAAAGTCAAATGCAATTTCACAAGAACGAAAGGTTATGCATTCAATCCTCCTACCATCCATAAAGGTTCAACGAGTGTTATTGGCCACTGCGCAGGTTCAGGTTACAGCACCTAATGGTAACATGACAGAAGTGAGAGCTTTAATTGATCAGGGCTCTGAGATCTCTTTGATATCGGAAAGAACGGTTCAACGACTGAAGATGACTCGGAAGCATTCATCAGTATCTCTAATCGGTATTGGAGGTAAAACTCCTAATAGTCCACGAGGCATGGTCAACTTTAAACTGAGTCCACATTTCCAGTCCGAATTCCAGTGTACGGTAACAGCTCACATACTAGCCAATCTCACTTCTGAGATTCCGTCGGCCCAACTGGATCCGACGACTTGGCCACATTTGACGGATTTAAAATTGGCGGACGTTCAGTATATGCAACCAGGAGCAATAGATCTCATCTTAGGTGCTGATGTATATGGATATATCATCGCGGATGGATTGGTTAAAGGACCACCAGATTCTCCAATAGCCCAATCCACCAAACTTGGATGGGTTATCTCCGGACCCACAGGTAGCAGAATAGACAATGAGAATGCACGAATGTCATGTAGTCGCAACGGAGGAGTTGTACCACATACTACATAAGTTTTGGGAATTAGAAGAGATTCCGACCTTAAAGGATCATTCGGTGACTCCAGATGAACAAAGGTGTGAAGAACATTTCCAACTTACCCATACGAGGGATCCACAAGGCCGATATGTGGTGTGGTTGCCTTTTAAGCAATCCACTGATCAATTAGGAAGTTCCAAGGCGAAAGCCATTCGTATAATACACCAGTTAAATAGACGTTTCGAATCAGATCCATGTTACGCAAAATTGTATTCAGACTTTGTAGTTGAATACGCAGCACTTCAACACATGACACTCATTCCAGACTCTCAATCAGACTCAACGTCTAGTTATTACCTTCCACACCATGGAATAATAAAGGAAAACAGCAGCACTACCAAATTACGAGTGGTTTTTAACGGATCCAGCAAAACCACAACAGGAGTATCTCTAAACGACTTACTACATGTCGGTCCTAAATTGCAAACCGACATATTCGATGTCCTAATTTGGTATCGACAGTTCCGATATGTTTTCTCGGCTGATGTTGAAAAAATGTACCGGCAGATCAAAGTTCACCCAGAAGACTGGAAATATCAACAAATCTCGTGGATAGACCACGAAGGACGTTTGTTAACCTATCAACTCACTACAGTAACGTATGGATTAGCTTGTGCTCCCTTCCAAGCTCTTCGCGTTATGCAGCAGCTCATAAAGGATGAAGGGGCTAGGTTACCCTTAGCGGTGCCAGTATTATCACAGGGACGATATGTAGATGATTTATTCGGAGGAGATTCTATCATTCAAGCGCAAGATACTCTGAAACAGGTAAATCAGCTCTGCATGGCGGGCGGGTTTAAATTGAGAAAATGGATCAGTAATGATCCCACTGTGTTGAAATCCGTTCCTGAGAAGGATAGAATGATTGGATCTTCCGTATCAATTGAGGAGAAGTCAGTGGTGCTTTCCCTTGGACTGCATTGGCATCTAGACAATGACACCTTTCAATTTACCTTCCATCATAAACATACCGAAACTATTACCAAACGATCTATATTAGCTACCATTGCTCGATTATTCGATCCGCTTGGTTTGCTCTCTCCCCTTATGATAAGAGCGAAGATGCTCATGCAAGAGGTTTGGTCCTTACAGTTGGGGTGGGATGATCCTGTTCCTTCTGCAATAACTTGCAAATGGATGTCATTTGTCAGCGATCTTCAGAACTTAGCTACTATTAGTTTCCCCAGATGGATAGGTTTAAGTTCCGATAGAATACTTGAGATACATGGGTTTTCTGACGCATCACCATACGCCTTCGCGGCAGTTGTTTACACTCGTTTGACTTCTAATGACGGTAGTATTCATACAAAATTAATATGTTCTAAGACTAAAGTGGCTCCGTTGAAACGGATGACCATACCGCGTTTGGAGCTCGCAGGAGCAGTCCTCCTAACCAAGCTAGTAAACCATATAATTAAGGTTTTAAATCGGAATTATATTCCTGTTTATCTATGGACAGATTCGACTGTCTCGCTTACGTGGATTAGTAATCACCCTTCACGCTGGAAGGACTTCGTCCATAATAGAGTTTGTTATATTCAGGAAACGGTACCGCAAGCTCAATGGAACTTTGTAGCAGGACGGGAGAATCCTGCCGACTTAGCAACTAGAGGACTTTCGATTGATCAACTTGTAGAAAAGAAATGTTGGTGAGACGGGCCTATGTGGTTGATGGAACCGTCCTCACATTGGCCAAAAAATCTAATCGCGACAGAGAGTAGTGAAGTACTTGAAGAGAAATCCGTTAAAGTCACGACGACTCGTATTCAATCCACTGATTGTTGGAATCTTCTATCGAAATGCTCCTCTTTAACAAGACTGCTTACAGGATCACTGTCATTTGTAGACGAGTTATCGATAAGTTACGTAAGGTGCCTAATTCTTCTCTGCTGCATCCTATCACTACCATTGAACTACAATCTGCGAAACATTTTTGGATTAAGGCCGTGCAACATACCGCATTCCCTAGAGAACTTAAATCAATTTCCGAAGGAAAACACTTTCAACCCTCTCATCCATTTTCACGTCTAACACCCTTCATGGATGCTAACGACATTTTACGAGTAGGGGGTCGTTTACGAGAATCTTCCTTAAGTATGGAAGCCAAACATCCGGCAATCCTGCCGAAGTGCTCACCGTTTACCACCCTAATCATTGCAGATGTTCATAGACGAACATTGCACGGAGGGACTCAGATCATGTTGTCCACATTACGAGAGGAATTTTGGGTAATAGGAGGTCGCGTTCCAATTAAAAGTTTTATACTCAAGTGTGTTCAATGCACTCGTTTTCGTCATAAAAGGGCGCAGCAGTTGATGGGCCAACTTCCCAAGGAACGAGTTTCGCAAACTCGTCCATTCCTCAACACAGGTGTTGATTATGCTGGACCGCTCTCCATTAAGACCTGGAGAGGAAGAAACGCTCGAACATATAAAGCCTATGTCGCCTTATTTGTATGTCTCTCAACCTCCGCGACTCATCTCGAGTTAGTGACGGATTACACCGTTGATGCATTTCGTGGCAGCTTATAAGAGATTCACAGGGCGGAGAGGTATCTGCACAACTCTTTGGAGTGACTGTGGCACTAACTTCAAGGGCGCAGATGTTACCTTGCAAAAGCTATTCTCTGAAGCCACATCCGAATCTCAGCACCTCGCTTCTTTATTGGCAAATAACGGCACACAGTGGAAGTTTATTCCTCCATCCGCTCCACACTTCGGTGGTAAATGGGAGGCAGGTGTCAAATCTATGAAGTTTCACCTCCGTCGAGTAATTGGAGACGTTATTGACGTATGAGGAAATGAATACTCTACTCATTCAAATTGAGGCGATCCTTAATTCAAGGCCACTAATGCCCTGCAGTGATGATCCTGAAGATCTGAACGCCTTGACCCCTGGTCACTTTCTTATGGGTTGTGCACCCAACGTGATCCCGGAACCATCTGTAATGGATACGTGTCCTTCACGATTATCCAGATGGCAGCTCATTAGACAGATGGTTGATTGCTTCTGGACGAGGTGGTCAAAGAAATGTCTCCAGCGTTACCACGCTATTTCCAAATGGAAGAATGAGACGAGGACGGTCGAGGTGGGTTCCGTGGTATTAATTGTTGACGAGAGGTATCCGCCAGCGAAATGGCCACTGGGAAGAATCCTTTCTGTTCATCCGGGTGATGATGGATTGGTAAGGGTAGCTACGATAAAAACTCAAACTACCATATTGAAAAGACCCATTGTGAAACTTTGCCCTCTCCCAGTAAAGGATAATCCTATCTAAATTATTTCGTTAAAGACAATTAACGAAGGCGGGCGGAATGTTACGGATTGATGCAATTTTAAAAAAAAAACTCCCGCACAGCCATGTATGTCCGCGTAACCATAGGAACGCGGATCGGGCGCTAACGTGCAGTACTCCCGTCGCGATGAC